ACCGTGGGTGGCTAGCTTCCCCGTGGTCTGCCCCCCAGCAACCCTCTTCTATCCCACTAGCTCGGATTCGTTTGCACTTGTCGTAGACGAGCGGACTCGGGCGTCTGGGTGCTGCTCGCGCGCACCAGCACGGTTCCATGGCACACATACGCGGCGTTCAGCTCGCGCCGACGGCGTTCAGCTTGCGATCCGCCGCCGATGCTGCGGCTCCCATGGCGCGTATGTATATTTAAAGACGCGTTTTCGGGGACGCGTTTCGTCCGGCCGATGGTGCGCTCTCTCCTGCTTAACCCCGGCGCAATTATGGCTCCGCGCGCTTGAAAAACGGTGCGCGGCATGCGTCACCGGCAGGTATCTCGGGGATCGTGTGCACGCGTCCACGGAGGGCACTCGAGAGGGTGTCGACGGAACGTGTCCGCTCCCTCGTCTGCTTCCGTTCGGAAGCGTGCGCGAGCGGACACGCGAGCCTGTCGTCTTCGATCGGAAGCCGCGGCGCGGAAATCGCGGCGGTTCGACGTCGCCGAATCGAGGATTAGACGGCAGCCTCTCTTCGGGAGTAGGCCGCGGACAGAGATGAATCTAAGGCGAACCTTCGGACAATGCGATGTACATTTTTATCCCAAAAATGTCTCGCAATCCGGAAATAGCGGGTTCCTTGGATCATTTGAAGCAGCTTCTTCCTTTACAAAAATGTTCTCCGAGGCACCGTTAACGAGATATTAACGAAAAACAGTGACCAATGAGAGGCGAGCTCAGCTGGCGCGAGGCGACCGAGCCACTGAGTGGAACTGGGCTTCGTGCGCTGGTTGGCTGGGCCGCCTCGCGCCAGCCGAGCTCTTATTGGTCACTGTTTTTCGTTAATAACTCGTTAACGGTGCCTCAGAGAACATTTTTATAAAGGAAAGAGTTGCTTCAAATGACCTGAGGAATCCTCCACTTTCGGATTGCGAGACATTTTGGGACATCCTGTACGTGCTCACAGTTTCGGGAACAATCCCTAAGGAGCCGCGGAAGAAAGGGGTTGTCGAGGAACGTCCGACAGTTGTTGAAGGATGCGCGATTAACGACTTTCCTCGACTGCGAATACAAACTTGATCAAACCTGACGCGAACGATTCTGTACCGGGTGGGCAAAATAATACCTCGGTGTATGTCTTTGAAACTAAAAATGTTCGGCGATTACTCGTGTGTATAGGATGAGTCGGTTAACAAATAATTTAAGCAAACAATTCAATATTATATGGACGTGAGAGCTTCTGCTCGCGTCTACGATCTGATACTCGTCGATCGTTAAATGTCTGCATAAAATTGGCCAGAACGTCGATCCTGACCTTGCGAAACCAAGGAGAACGGATTACATGCGTTTATGACAAAATGGAGCAGATAGTATACAAAATGTTACATGCAGAAAATAAGTTTGACAACGTTGTCAGAACATTTCGATTGAAAATGTTACGAATGCAAATCGATGTTTATTTAACACCTGTTTGTGTTAAATAAAGGCATCAAATTTCTCAGGAAACAGTCCCTGACCTTTCGAACGCAAGGCAAACCTGCTCAAACTCCAGAAAGCGCTCAAACAATTCTCCAATACGAACTAGGCTAATCCTTCCACGTTCGACCTTGAGAAAAAAGGCAAATTTGCAAAGAAATTAAGCACCAATTCCAGAACGCAATAACAATAACCAAGACCGAAATCTTGAAGACGTCAGGATATTTCCGAAGTACTATAATGCCAGAACTTTGGAAAAGCTCGTCTATCTTGAACGGGGGAGGGAGGTCGGGCGATAGGAGAAATTAATTTCGGCCGCGATAAGAGTGGAGACGAAACAAACGTAAAAAAGGAGACATTTGAAGAGACGGTGCACGATCGAAAGAGAGAGAGAGTGAGAGAGAGGGGGGGAAGAGAGCTGGATGATCGGGCAGTGTGTCGAAGAGAGAGGAGCACGGTCGAGAAGAGCGGGAAGGAGAGAGACGGGAACGGATGGGACCGCGGAGGAGGCAGGGTGAGCCGTCGTTCGTCGAAGGGAGAGAGGGCTCGGGCTAGAGCGGGACGGGACGCGAGAGAATGAGAGAGCAGGCGCGGTGGTGTGCGCGCACCGGGAGAGAGAGATCGTGTTGCGTGGCTAAGTGTGGGGTCGTATCGCGCTCGCCAGTCGTTTTATATACGTGCGCTGTCGGTGCGCGCGGATAGCGCGCTGGAACGTCGAACGCTATAGGTCGGANAATCGAGGATTAGACGGCAGCCTCTCTTCGGGAGTAGGCCGCGGACAGAGATGAATCTAAGGCGAACCTTCGGACAATGCGATGTACATTTTTATCCCAAAAATGTCTCGCAATCCGGAAATAGCGGGTTCCTTGGATCATTTGAAGCAGCTTCTTCCTTTACAAAAATGTTCTCCGAGGCACCGTTAACGAGATATTAACGAAAAACAGTGACCAATGAGAGGCGAGCTCAGCTGGCGCGAGGCGACCGAGCCACTGAGTGGAACTGGGCTTCGTGCGCTGGTTGGCTGGGCCGCCTCGCGCCAGCCGAGCTCTTATTGGTCACTGTTTTTCGTTAATAACTCGTTAACGGTGCCTCAGAGAACATTTTTATAAAGGAAAGAGTTGCTTCAAATGACCTGAGGAATCCTCCACTTTCGGATTGCGAGACATTTTGGGACATCCTGTACGTGCTCACAGTTTCGGGAACAATCCCTAAGGAGCCGCGGAAGAAAGGGGTTGTCGAGGAACGTCCGACAGTTGTTGAAGGATGCGCGATTAACGACTTTCCTCGACTGCGAATACAAACTTGATCAAACCTGACGCGAACGATTCTGTACCGGGTGGGCAAAATAATACCTCGGTGTATGTCTTTGAAACTAAAAATGTTCGGCGATTACTCGTGTGTATAGGATGAGTCGGTTAACAAATAATTTAAGCAAACAATTCAATATTATATGGACGTGAGAGCTTCTGCTCGCGTCTACGATCTGATACTCGTCGATCGTTAAATGTCTGCATAAAATTGGCCAGAACGTCGATCCTGACCTTGCGAAACCAAGGAGAACGGATTACATGCGTTTATGACAAAATGGAGCAGATAGTATACAAAATGTTACATGCAGAAAATAAGTTTGACAACGTTGTCAGAACATTTCGATTGAAAATGTTACGAATGCAAATCGATGTTTATTTAACACCTGTTTGTGTTAAATAAAGGCATCAAATTTCTCAGGAAACAGTCCCTGACCTTTCGAACGCAAGGCAAACCTGCTCAAACTCCAGAAAGCGCTCAAACAATTCTCCAATACGAACTAGGCTAATCCTTCCACGTTCGACCTTGAGAAAAAAGGCAAATTTGCAAAGAAATTAAGCACCAATTCCAGAACGCAATAACAATAACCAAGACCGAAATCTTGAAGACGTCAGGATATTTCCGAAGTACTATAATGCCAGAACTTTGGAAAAGCTCGTCTATCTTGAACGGGGGAGGGAGGTCGGGCGATAGGAGAAATTAATTTCGGCCGCGATAAGAGTGGAGACGAAACAAACGTAAAAAAGGAGACATTTGAAGAGACGGTGCACGATCGAAAGAGAGAGAGAGTGAGAGAGAGGGGGGGAAGAGAGCTGGATGATCGGGCAGTGTGTCGAAGAGAGAGGAGCACGGTCGAGAAGAGCGGGAAGGAGAGAGACGGGAACGGATGGGACCGCGGAGGAGGCAGGGTGAGCCGTCGTTCGTCGAAGGGAGAGAGGGCTCGGGCTAGAGCGGGACGGGACGCGAGAGAATGAGAGAGCAGGCGCGGTGGTGTGCGCGCACCGGGAGAGAGAGATCGTGTTGCGTGGCTAAGTGTGGGGTCGTATCGCGCTCGCCAGTCGTTTTATATACGTGCGCTGTCGGTGCGCGCGGATAGCGCGCTGGAACGTCGAACGCTATAGGTCGGAACCATGCGCGCTCGCCACAGGCTATAGGCTAGCCGTAGGGGCGCGATAGAGAGGCGAAATAGAGCGAGAAGGGGGCCGAAAGACAGGGAAAGACCGGATAAAGGAACGGGACAGTCGCGTGGACGGAGGGAGACGGAGCAAGATAGACAGAAGGCGAGAGGGAAACGGAGATAATACCGTGAGCGAGATAGCAGGGAGCGAGCGAGAGGGGCCTAGGGTGGAGGAAGCGAGAGGAAGAGAGAGAAACGAGAGCGCTTATGCACCGCTGAATCCACCGCGGCCGGCCGCACTCTCACTTTCGCCGGCGTCGATGACGGTTCTCGTCGTCGTCGGCTCATTGCCGTCTGCGCTCCAACCACCGGCCTCTTTTCTTTTCTTCTTTTCCTTTTTTTTTTACTCGACCGAGTGTGACGCGTACGCGGTGATCCGTACGCAGTGATCCACGCGGCTCCCGCATTGTCCGAAGCAACGTGGTGTCTGCGAGCAGAGGAGAGAAAGAGAGAACAGAGTGCGCCGAAGGCAGAGAGGATAGAGAGAGGGCTGCGCCGCGAGATGATCCGCGAGTGTCCGATCGCGTGACCGATCCTAGACGACCAAGACCGAAGGAGGAACCGTGCGCGGAGCCGGGCCGGAGTCACGTTGCTCTCATTTATCTCGTGACGAAACTCGAGCAGGGGTTGACGCTCTTGGAGGCCTTCGCGACGATAAACCCGCGGTCAGCCGGGCCCGTGGAGGTGGATCGCGTCGTTCTCTCCGTTCCACTGCTTCTCGTCCCGTCACCCTCTCTCTCTCTCTCTCTCTCTCCGTCCCTCTCGTTCGCTCGCCGGTTTTCTGTCACGACGCGACGCGACGCGACTCGACGCGACGCGACACGACACGGCGTGCATCAAGGGTGAGAGAGGGAAACCGAGAGTGGTCGGAGAGAAGAAGGGGAGAGAGTCACTCCGGCACACGAGGGCGGGAGCGAGAAAGCAGAAGGGAGGAGGACGCTGCGTGGGTGGTGGGAGAGAGGGAAAGGTCGGCGGCGGCTCGTGAGGGACTACTCGTATTCCGAGGACTGTTGTTTTCGGCGAACTGCTAAGAAACACTCGTCCACGCGGACCCCGGGCTTTTACGTGCACTCGCTCTCGCGCACCCTCGCGATAACGGCGCCCGCCGCGCTCTGCCACCGGATTCTCTTTATCAGTGGTTCAGTTCCGAGGCACGGACCGCGCGGTCTTGTGACTAGCACGTGACACCCCGTGACCAGGATTTTCGAACGTGTCCACTACGCCGCGTAGTGTTACGTCAGTTTCTCGGGCCAGTGGTTAAAACAAAACTGTGATCCCGGGTCTGTGCTTCCAGCCGCGTGGCCGAACGACACTGTATACGCCTCGCGTTTCCCTCGGCCTCTCGTCGGGAGGGAGGAGGACGCCGCCGCCGCACGCCGGTGCTCTCGCGAGATATTCGTTGCCGGCTGTTGTGTGCAGTGAGCCCGGTATAGTTAGACGCGTGCCGAAAACTCGGGAGAAGAGCGCAAGGTCGCCGCCGGTCGTGGTGCGATCCGGACAGTGACTCGATCGTTTCCCGCGGCCGTGATATCGGCACGCGAACCGCTCGGAGGCCGGCCCGCACGCCGTCCGCCGCGGATCTCGCGGCCCTCCGCGGGGCGTCGCGCGTTTTTTCCGCTGTCGCAGTTTCTCGGCCGAGAGAGCAGCCAGTGATTACTCATCGGGCGACGGGATCGGACGCCGCGGCCGCGCGCGTAAAGTGAGTGACTAGTTCGGAGTGCCACCGCGAGGGCTTCCACTGCAGGTGTCACGCCGCCGTGAAGACATTGACCGTGACATTCGAGAGACATCCGCGCGGTGATACAGTGAAAACGCAACGGCGGCGAGCCGGCCGAACAACCGACTCACGCGGTCTCGTTATACGAAGCGTTTCGAAGCGTTTCGATCCTCGCGCGATCCCCGGCTGTCTACGATCCTCTCGTGCCCCAGGCACAGGCTCTCGATCCCCGACACCGCGATCCAGGACGATCTCTTCGCCCGGCAGAGCCCATGTGCCCGCGTGTTCCGTGAATGAAGCCGGTCGGCACGATCGTCGGGGAATTTTCACGAGAGCTGCCGTGACCCGCGACCGCGGGGTGAATCGATTAAACGTGGCTCACACGGCCAGGGACAGGGCCGCCGAACTCCAGGCGGAAGTCAGGAGCGCGATCAGGGTGCTACATGGTTGGTGCCCCAGGCCGCCCCAGGGGCACCGCGGTGACACGGTTGTGATGCCACCGCAGACGCAGATGCGTGCGAACCATCGGAATGCGGGACCAACGCAACCACCGCCAGCCACCGTGGTAGTCAGCTCCACGTCCAGCATGAGACCGCCACCCCCGCCGCCGCCACCCAGGGCCAGGGCCTCCAACGAGGGAAAGGGACATCACGAGGAGCCCACCAGCTCCATCCCCGATCTTGGTGAGCCCCGCAACTAAACCTTCTGTTAACGCATTGTTCGCCGGGCTCTCTCGGACTAGGTCTCGGAAACAGTTTTCGCCGGATTTCGGGAAGCTTGGACACGGGAAAGTGCGGTTCGCTTAGCCGGCCCGTCGATACCAGGCGGTTAGAAAGTTGTTCAAGATTCGTATGAAAGATGAAAGTCGAGAGAGAGAAACCGGGGGGGACAGTGTGTCGAGGCAGATCTTCTTCTAGACGGTTTTATTCGATCGCGGTCGACCCTGAAACATCGCCGGGTCGCGTTCGAACTTTTACAATAACAACGCGGGAAATTGAGCAAACGAACGTCGTGCCGGTTTTTGAAATCGCTCGGAAAGTCGATTCGCTGATTATCGAACGAAACGAGCGATCACCGGACAGAGAGTTTGGAGAACTGTTTTCTGTTCGTGGAACAGATACGAACGGAGCAGCTATCACGGCCAACTGGGCCAAATGATAATTCGAGGATTTTGGCCTTTCGTTGGGCGCAATCGAAACAACTTTTCACTAATCTGTGAAGATCGATAATTCGGATGGCTCGCTTTTAGAAACAATTGCCGCGATAACGACGCACTTTATCGGGCATCGGTTTTTTGCACATACTTGCAACGTGTCGCTGGATGGAACGGTCCGCGAAACGGCGTGACGTTTCAAAATTCGACGCTTTTTCGGACATCGACGAATGAACTTTGAACTTTGGTGCGCCGAACACGGCGCGCGCTCCTTTTTTTCGTCGACGCTTCGGGATAGACCTTGTAAATTTCTCTAAATGCGATTGACAAAAAACTTGCTGGAACGGGCGAGCCACGCTTTCCGGTTATGTTAAGTTAGTTTTTCGACGGAACTTCCCATTTTCGAATGGATCCCGGGCGGACACTGGAAATTGGAGTTTATACACGGAGCGCATGTAAATCGGTGGGATGCGCGTACTACCGAATGTTCGGATGGCTCGGGTTCAATGGCGGCCATATTAAACATGCGCCGTGAGTGATATCGAGGGAAAATCGTATACGACATTGACCGCAAACTTCTCTCGTGTCGTTTAAACAAGCGCTGAGCGACAATTGGCTCGATCGTCGAAAGCTCCGGAATTTCTCACGGAATTTCATTAGTCCGTCTCCGGGGACCGTCGTCGTTTTAGCCAGACGAATACATTATTCTCGTCTTTTCGAGCGATCACTTTTCTTTTCGCGTTCCGTCACATCGACTCCTACACAACATTCGCATCTGTACAGGCATATTCAAGAAATTAAATAATGAACTACACTCTATCCTCTCCAAAATTTGCAGCGAAACACTGAATCTCCAACAACTTTAACAAATTTCCAAACGGTTCGATAATCTCGAGGGCGCCAGTTCTATTTTCAATTAATCACCGAGCCGCGCCGATAAACGAAGTTGCAAAAATTCCCGAGCTCGTTCGCTGCCTTTCCGTAGGAAATTTCGGGAACACCGAACGGTCGGAAGGTCGCAGAATTCGGTGTGGACAGGTCGTCCCTGATCGGACTTCGCAGAAATACTTTACATTCTGACCGGTGCACTATGCTTAGTGTTTACGTCTGTACGTTTCATTAACGATAAGCCCCGCTAAGCGTTATCGTCTGCGCTCTTCGTGACAGCCGGACGTTTGTGTAACGAAGACTGAAGGTGTAGACGGGAGAAAAAGAAGGAGAGCAAAAATAAGAGTGCGAGAGAGAAAGAGAGAGAGCGTGCGCGCGCGCGCGCGCGAACCAACCGCGCTCGATCTTGTTTCGCGCCTAAAAATAAGCTTTTCGAGTCTTCAACAAAAGTAAAAGCTCTTGCTCTTGCGGGAGCTTACTATCCGGTGTACTTTCGCTCCGAACACATCGGCGGAGCACGGTGGTCGCCGCGAAAGTAAACAAAGGACGAGCAAATTACACGACCTCGTGCGGATGCGGCATTTCTTTCGCGATGGGACGGAAGCGTGACCCCTTTGTCATGCCTGAAAACATTTCAGCTCGTACTTTCTGCCAATTCTTTTTTCTTTTTTTATTCTGCCTACGGTCCGGAGCTAAGCCTCGCCGGGATTGGACGGATTGGACGCTTCTATTTCCGAATTTTGAACGGTGGTGGTGCGAAAGTCGCAAGTTCGACGACGTTCGAGGCGGCTGTTTATTTTACTTCAGTGCCACTTGCGAATACGCCCACGCACGAGAGCTTGTGTTTCCGCAGTTTCGTTATAAGTATTCGAAAACTAATTGAAACGTAATTATTACTAGAAGGTGGGCGGATCTTTATGCAAAATAATAATTGCAGAAGACAGGAATCAGGCACAGGCTTCTTTCTCTGGTTGATAACGTCACGAAGTTCAAATTAATACGTCTCGGTTTCTTCCAATATTTTCGCTGTTTTGAATTATGCCAACTCGGTTAGCCGTGAGATCCGCGGTCCAATTATTACAGATCACGTGGCCCGCTATTTCGCGTTGAAATCAAAGTTGCGCAACGCGCGGTATTTTGGGAAAAATCGCGCTCGCAACGCGAAAAACTGAAAGTGACGCGATTGATGTTTCCAGTTCCGCGGATTTAAAATCGAAAGTGAGCAGATCGATGGAATCGATTAATGGCCGCATACTCGCGAGGAATCGAGGCGCGCGATTTACGGGGCTTCGTCCTCTGAAAGCTAATACCCGTGTACCCTGATAATCGATAATCGATCCGTCGCCGATGAGCGGAGAGGTCTCGTCGGCCGCGCCGGCGAAACAATTTGCATATCGAGCCGGACGATTCCGCGCCGGTTTAATCGATTCGGAAAGACGTCGGAAGAACAACAAAATTGTCCGATCGCATTCTTGTTTTCAGTCGCGCCGCTTTTCGCGAAGCATGTTCCGTCGCGTGTCCACACCGTTGCTAACATTCTTTTCCCGCGATAGTTCGTTCTACCGTTTCGATAACAATTTTGCTGTACGCTTGCATCGATACCGCGACGCGCTTTCGTAAAGCCAACATAATTTCGGCGCGGCGAACCGAACCGCGAATTTTATTCGCGATTAAATTCTGTAGAAACGATACAGTTCGCAGTTCTGGTTTTTCTTCGTAGCCGAACGCCGACGAGAGCGCGGCGTTTGCTTCGCGAGCGCACATTTTACTCGATATATAATAGCGTTACTGTTTTATTTAATCAATTACGCAACGCCCATTGTTCCTCATGATCCTCTTGGACCGTACGATCGATTACGTAAAGCAGCAACACCGTAATAAATTGATTTGCTCGTACATCCGCGGAGCGAACATCATTCTCCCACTGACCTAATAATTCTTCGAAATTGGCTACACTCTTTTTTTCTGCGATTTTTGTTCGATTGTTCGGAAAAGATAAGACCGTGCAACGTTCGAGAACGTTGAAAACTCTCGCAGCTTCTTATCGCTTTCAACAATATTGTTAATCACAGATATGCGCGCTCTCGGACACATTTGTCTGATTTCGAATGACGCTCTGCCATTCGAATATCGATTGCCACGTTGCCTTGAATGAAACGTTATCTTCGGGACTCGCGTATGTGCAGCAGTTAAATACCGACTGCCATTGTTCATCAACGTGGTCGGATAAGTAGAACGATTTTGTTTCTCGCGTGAACCGTGAAAAATATTTGCAGACGGTTATAAACGAGCCCCGCCGCGTTCCCCAGCTTCGTTTCTCTCCCCGTTCTACGGGGTGTCCCAAAAACGTCTCGCAGTCCGGAAATGGCGGGTTCCTCGGATCATTTGAAGCAGCTTCTTCCTTTACAAAAATTTTCTCCGAGGCACCGTTAACGAGTTATTAACGAAAAACAGGGACCAATAAGAATCGAGTACGGCTGACGCGAGGCGGCCCAGCCAACCAGCGCACGAAGCCCAGTTTCGCTCATTGGCTCGGTCGCCTCGCGCCAGCCGAGCTCGCCTCTCATTGGTCACTGTTTTTCGTTAATAACTCGTTAACGGTGCCTCGGAGAACATTTTTGTAAAGGAAAAAGTTGCTTCAAACGACCTGAGGAACCCGCCACTTTCCGATTGCAAGACTGTTTTGGGACATACTGTATATAAATCCCGTTTCGTCGGCTGAAGATCTCTTCTCGATCCCACGTTACAGTAATGTCTCTCTAATTGACGCTCAGATTGTCCACGAAAATGGACAAGTTTGGAACAGAAGATACGATTGTTCGAGCCTTGTTGCTCGTTTCTTCTGGTTATCGATTGTCAACAACTATAAAAACGAGTCGCAAGGTTCGAATAATCGTATCTCCTCCTCCCAAATTGTCCATCTCTGTACGCAACCTGAGCGTCAGTGAGGGAGACATTACTGTACTCGCACAATTCCGAGATCCAAATGGTGATCCAGTTTCGGCCGCGTTATCAGCGAGTGCTACGGTCGAATGCGACTTACATCGGAAAGCGTAAACCGCGATTGTTTATCGATCGCGTGATCGCCGGAACAACGACCTTGACATTAGACGCGACAGCGTTGATTATTTAACTTGCATCTGGCTGTCGAAGGTTGCTCCCAGTAGACGCGTCAACCTCCACAATGCCGACACGGTTCGCTATTTAAATCCCGGGTGGAACCGCCGCGCCGATGCCTTTCATATTGATATTTCGAAAAAGGCGGACGGTGTTTCTCGAGCACAGATAAACAGCTCCGCGTCGGTTCGCGATAACATTCGGCTTTTGTCATCGCTTCTCTGCAGTTCGCTGAAAATTACGTCGCTTACACCGTCTCCCTTGGCAGCCGATTATTAATTATTAATTAACGTAGATTTTTCACCGGCACTGCACTTAATCACCGACAAATATCGTTTCATGTTGTCCATATTTTTGTTTCATTTTCAACGAATCAATTTCAATTTCTGTGATACTTTTATATATATATATATATATATATATATATATATATATATATATATAAATGACAACATGAAACGATATTTTCATATTCTGCGATTTTTATATTTTTATATTCTGCGATTTAATTTCAATGAAAATAAA